AATAGGAGTTCCTGGGAGGATGGGTTGCAGACGCAGGAAACCGAAAAGGTTACGCACATGGGGTGAAGACATCCCCATCCACACTCTGATGTTAATAACAATGTGGCTTGAAACACGGGGGGGGGGGGGAGGAATGACCTCATTGCATTTCAAGCCACTAATGTGAACATATCCCTAGGTGTGTGGTTCTTTGGCTCTAGTTCACTATAAACTGCTAACTGCAACAACTAATTGGGCTACTTATTTACCTCTGAGCAACAGGATTCTGAAATCACTAGTCAGAAACAATTACTTCTGACTACAGACCAGTTCACTAAGTATCATAGAGTTGGAGAGTGTCTTGATGACTATCAAGTCTGCTTATAGCTGGAAATCCAGGTAGTTGTCTTGTCTCTGCTTGAAGACCTCCACTGAAGGAGAGTCATTCCTGATAGTCTATAGCATGAAAGGGTTGCCATGTATCAACGAGCCATTATGTAATTATGACTACAGATAAAGCTTTTTCTCACATCCAATGTCAACTCAAACAAAATAGCGCCAGTGTGGTATAGTGGTGGCAGTTAGGGAGACTAAGCTTCAAATCCGTCCTCAGCCTCAAAGCTCCTTACTCTGTCAGCCTAACTAGCTCACATAAATTTTGGGGGATGAAAATTGGGAATAAGGGTCATTTACATTGCCCAAGGTCCTTATTATATATATACATTATATCCCAAGGTGGGATATAAATATAACATTTTTTTAAAAAAATGAAAATGATTTATTCATTTGGCTGAGACTCATTTGGCTCCAAATATACAAAATCAATGTACAAATAGTATAAGTGTAAACTAGCTTAAACTATTTTACATGCTTTCATTACTAAATTTTAATCCCTCGCATTTTCCAATCACTTGTCACACTACTCTTAAGTGAATATAGAGCTGTTTCTCAGGAGCTTGGCCAAATGACAGACCCATTATTGAATTGCCTGAGGTGTGTCTGTGCATTTTCCTGGCAGAGACCCTGTTCTTTTAACAGCTGTGTGAAAGTTAGACAACACTGCATATGCCACACTTTCCAGGGCATCTTCCAGTCACTTCCCTTATTGCAAAAATCCCAGTTTTGGGGTGGGGGAAAACATCTTGTGCAAGAGCTTCAAATCCACTTCAACTGTGAAACCTGAAACTGCTAGAATGTGATTGAATGCCACTCAAAGACAGCACTCCTAGTCCACCGTGGATCACCTTCTACAATCTGCATGATATGTTTATATTAAGCTGCTGTGCGAAGTTATGTGGGGTAAGAAGCCATTGCTATAGTGATGATACCCAATTCTAACTGTCCTTTTTATCTACATAAGTAAATAACAAGTACAAATTCAGCTGGTGTGCACTGGAAACAGGAATGTAGCCAGAGGTTAAAAGTTGCAACTCTCAAGCACATCTTCATGCTAATTTGAAAAGATGGAAACTATTTTGGAAGGTTAAAGTTAATTTGATAAGATGGAAACTATTTCAGCTCCTTTAAAAAAAATACAAAAGAAAGTGGAGAAAATAATTTGTATATTCTTAAACTCACACTTGAGTTAGGGCTCATTCTGGGTTTCCTGTTTCCAGTCAGTACTTTCCTTTTGGACCACTCTTGCCCCCATACACTTCTTTTTCCCCTTTGTGCCCTTTGCTATGACCCAGATTATCTGAATGCTTTGAGCTGAAATTCCATCCCTGCTCCATTTTCCCCACAGGGTTACTCTGCTGTTGCTCTTTTAACTTGGCATATGAACTTAGTTCCAACTATATCCCTTACTTTGTTTATGGGTAATATCCAAGTAAATCACAGAATAGGTCTGTTGAAATCAGTGGATTGAGAATGGATTAGCTCAAATTCATTGATTTCATTGGGTCTGAGTGAGTGGGCATGACTTTATTGGATACAATATCATGTCTGAATTTGACTACACTTTACAGCCACCTACACAATTGACACCCCACAGGGAAACCTCTCTCTGACCTCACTGCAGCCCTGCCCTGCCCTAGTGTTGTCCAAATAAGATAAAGGAGCAAAAGTGTCAGGAGGGCAACTCCATTGGGCTAGCCCACCACACTGGCTGCTACTCCATAAGACTATGCTACGAGTGTGCAGTAATTTCACTGCTTTTATTTCATGGAATTTCTTCCATGGTAACACAGAGATTTTAGCGGTCAAAAATCCACACCAGCACAAACTTCTCAGAAGTTCCAGAAGCAAAGAAAATGGCTTCATAAAAAGATTTAGGACAGAGCCTTTTAATAAAGTTATTGCCACGATTTTATTAAGAGGTAAAAGGGAAAGACAGGAGTGGAGACCAGAATGAGAACATTGAACATGCCCTCTTGCTGGGAAGATCTACACATCTTTAATAAATGAAAAGCACTTTACTAGAATCTTTATCTTTGGAAGCAATTATTTTTCAAAGTCACGGGCTTCAGACGCTGCAAAGATGCTGTCTTTTGCTCTCCACCTCTGCAAGTGCTTTAAGATTTAAGAAACCTGTTGGCTTGAGTTCTAATAAATCCAAATAAATGCTTTGATTTTTTTAATTAAATTTTTACTGCTATCTGCATTTGATATCTCAGCCAAATTGTATCCGCTGCAAGAGCAACAAAAAAGTCACATCAAAGGGGAACTGCACCTCATGACCTGTAATTATGGGATTTATTGCTCCATGACATACACTATAAGATGCACCTGCTGTCTGATAGTCTCTACTATATGACCCACGGCTGAAACAAAGGTACTTTTCTGAAGTGGGGTGAGCCGGTACATTTTAAGCAGGCCTTTTCATCCCAAGAAAGTATCGGTAGCTACGTCTGGGAGTCATCTGCCAAAAAACACTGCTTGTGCTGAGCTAGAAAAAGCCTGTGAAAATGAAGTTGTGATTTGGTAACAAAAATGAAGTCCTGTATAACAGAATAGTGAATGTCTCAGGTTATGTACACACTTCTGGCTCAAAACACAGCTAGGTTGTTTTTTCCTCCCATTTGGATCAAAGCTAGTTGGGGGGGGGGGGACGCATCAAAATGCAATATTTCATAAGAAATTACAGGACAGATACAGGATAGATATGGATTGTGGCTAATAACATGTATACAATATTAACCAAACCAGCAGTGGAAACACATTGGATGCAGAGTAAATAGGAGTGTGTACACGGCCTCAATGTTCTGTCTTTTCAGTACTACTACTACTACTACTACTGCCATTACTAACTTGGCTTAAATAAACTCATTTGACAGTCTGTATAGCATAAACTTTATATGCTCTATGACCTTTACATAGGCCTCTCACTTGAACTGCCCAAGTAACAGATTTTATTTATTTATTTAAAGTGCTGGCAGCCTGTCTAGTAATAGCAGTGGTAGCCTTGAGAAAGGAACAGTGATAGTTACTTTGAACAAAATAGCTTTCTCTTAATTGATATTGTTGAAGTTACAACACAGCAATTTAACAGCTACCGTTATAGTTATTCATACATTAGCAAGGGCAGCTGCTACCATTTGTGTAGTGCAAAAGTTGAAATACAGTGGTACCTCGGGTTACAGACGCTTCAGGTTACAGACGCTTCAGGTTACAGACTCTGCTAACCCAGAAATAGTACCTCGGGTTAAGAACTTTGCTTCAGGATGAGAACAGAAATTGTGCGGTGGCAGAGCAGCAGGAGGCTCCATTAGCTAAAGTGGTACCTCAGGTTAAGAACAGTTTCAGGTTAAGAACGGACCTCCAGAACGAATTAAGGTCTTAACGCAAGGTACCACTGTACTTGTGCACAGCCATTGCAAATACAGGCCCCATTCACATCAAACAACGTGTTCTACACATTGTGAGGAATGCTGAACCAGGTTGGCGGTTGCTTTTGTGCCCTGCCATGAGCAGAATATAGACACGGGGTCCTTGTGTGAACAGGTCCCATGATGCCAGTATGAGTAAGCAGCTGAGATTCTATTTGCAAGGCCTGTGGACATTTTATTCAAAAATAAACTGTTGCTATTAAAAGAGCCACTTGGCACATGTACTTTGTTTCTTATCAGTTTGCTCTCTCTCTACAACAAAGACTAGGAAAATATTGGCAGGAGTCATTGCTCTTGTAAGATGATGCACAAACCCTCCAAGCAGGACAGTCAACAGCCATATTAAGTGTGGCAATAGTGTGGGCAGTGCAATCTGTGACTGATCTATCAACAATAATCTATAGTACTCACTCACTCTGTTTCTCTCTCTGTTTCTCCCCCCCTTTTTTTAATGGGGTGACTTAAATGTTCTAATAAAATGAAGCAGTGGAATGTTTCCAGATGTCCACAACACTAGCAGGAAGAAAGTGCTCTAAGCCTTATGTTCTACCAACCCAGCATCCTTTCCTTATTAAATCATTCTTCCACTTCAACTTCTGGGGCAGGAGGTTGAAAAGAAGGAAAAAAGAAAAAGCTCACAAAAGTGTTTTGACAAATCCTTTCAAACCACACCAGGATAACAGTGACAGCAAAAGTCTGCTGACCAAGTTATTTAACTATGTGTTTACATCCCATTTATTTCCATGGGGTTTCTTAGTGCCAAGGCGTCTGAGGATGGCAGTTGTTTAACCTAGCAAGGACTTAATTGCTGCACATGCAGCTTGCCCCATTTGTTTTAATAAAGGAGCAACTATACATGCCCTGGTTCGCCAGAAGCGGCTTAGTCATGCTGGCCACATGACCTGGAAGCTGTACGCCGGCTCCCTTGGCCAGTAAAGCAAGATGAGCGCCACAACCCCAGAGTTGTCCGCGACCGGACGTAATGGTCAGGAGTCCCTTTACCTTTATACATGCAAAGGTGATGTATGCATGGAGCTTTTCTCTCAGCTGAAGTGAATAACAGTCTATGTGGGTAGGAGTATATCACAAGCACCTCAAAATTCCCCCGCCACCATGACCTAAGTGGATGAGAGCAACTTTCTTCAATTGTCTTACCTTGGAGAAGGCAGAACCAATGGTCAGGGAGGCAGGAAGGGCCGTGGTTCAGTGGAACAGTATCTGCTTTGGATTTAGATAGTCCCAGGTTCAATCCCTGGCTGGGAAAGACCAGCGGGGGGGGGGTGGCGGGCTACTGCCAGTCAGTGTAGACAATGCTGAGCTACATGGACCTAATGGTCTGACTCAGCATAAGGCAGCTTTCTATGTTCCTATGATGTTCACTTAGCAAGCGGTAAGTTAGAATCAGAATTGATGAGGCAGGGAATCCTGGCTGCCATATGTTCTTGGGAGTTGTCTGTACCTATGCAGGCAATACTAAAGTGCTGGATCACAGAAGCTCTTCACCATCTGCATTTGAGCCCTGGCTGCTGCTTAAGGCTGTGGTTAGGCCATCGTTGTTTTGAAATATTTTTAATGTGCATTTCTACTGCACACGCAGAGCATTTCCCAAAGTTCAAGGTACCCTGGAAGTCATCCTTCCACCTGTGCATCTCAGTTACTCACTAACAAGCTATGTTCAGTAGTATATTGGCTCTCTTTTTCTCATATTAAAAGCTATTAGGCCTATGCCTGAACTTTTCCATCAGCATATACAGCACTGTCCACATCTTGGAGTGTATTGAAACAACCTATCACACTTTGATAGGCAAGAGCAAATTTCAAATTGACACTAATTACTGCCTAAATAAAAAAAGCTGGGTTTCTGGACACCAATGCATCACAACTATAGTGGATGATTGATACTGTCTTGCTAGCTTAAGATCCGTTCAGTATATAAACATATAATTTGTCATTGCTTTATTCTCTGGAAAAAAAGCATTTCAAATAAATCTTAGGTAAAGTCACCTTGATGCTTGACTCCAGCCTGTGCAAACAGCCCCTGCAGCTCTTTTAAAAGAAAATGGGGGGTGGGGGGTGAGGCTCACTTAACTCTCTCAATTCTATAATTAGTTCTGCTGGCATTTGCTTTTCACATAAAGCAAGGACCAGGTTATATAGGGTAAAGATTAACTAGATATTGACCAAGGCGTCTCTGATAGAGGTAAAAGTAAAGCTCTAATGTCCAAGATTAGACATACGTAGGAATGAATGTCTGTATTGACCTTTGAAATGCTTCAGTTCAGGAGCAAAAGTGTTCAAAGAAGAGATGGATGAACGGTGGAGGCCTCACGGGTTAAAATAACTAACCGGGAAGGTACATTTCTTTAAGGGTTACTTTGTTGTCACTGAATAATTTGCAAATGCAAATGCAACACTCACATTTATTGCAGGAACAGTAAAAATCTGTTTCAGATTGGACTAATTTCAAATTGGACTAATTTCAGATTGGACTAATTTAGGTTATTTTCCATGATGGATTTGAACTAATAAAAATTCTGTCCCATATTTGATTCATTAAAGCTATCTTACAAGTAGTTTTATTATTTTTCAGAACAATGATATCCTTTTAATAAATATCTATTCAGAGCAAACATCCCAAGAGGGTTCTCTTTGGAGAAAAAAAGAACATGATTTTTCCTCAATACACTCTGCGATTCTTATGATTTTACTAAAAATAAACATTCCAATTCAGTATAAGCTGTAGACTTGCCATTTTTGCTGCTGCTTACCCCAGTTTGTAAACATTTGGAATGATTTTCAAAAAGCTGTTAATTGTGGAACCTTAAAGACTTAACAAATTTATTATGGCATAAATGTTTGTGGGCTACAATCTACTTCATCAGATACACAACAGCTTGTGCCATAATACGTTTGTTAGTATTTAAGGTGCTGTAAGACTCTTTATTAAAGATTTCAGAAACTTCCCATCTGGGTAATACTCTCACCCAGGGGAAGGATTTAAAATGGTAATTATAATATGGTGTGCTTTTGAGTTAAATGCATCTTTGTTGCCAAGGTACAATAATAATAAGATAGGGCAAATTGGGGAAATGAACTATATGTTTAGAGCAAAACTTTCATGGTCTCTTCTGTCCAGAGGAAATTGGGTCAAAAAAGCAGAAACAACTGAATGTGGAAAGCTATACTAGAAAGCCAAACATTGATCAGTTTAGTATTTTGCTTAAAAAAAAAAAATTAATTCAGAGACCGTGTTTGACTAGTTTCCTCTTTTATCAGTATGTGAAATAAATGTTTAAAGGAAGCACAATGAGTCTATTACAGCCTTTCTAATATAACAGTTTATGATTCTGCAGTTGGCTCCTGTATAAAATGCAAATTTGCTGTCTATCAAATTACAAGTGCTGCTGTTTGAAGGAGTGAGGAAACTTATATTTGGTCATTGAGATTTCTTTTTTCTCCTTATACGAGGGGCAGGATATAAGAATAACAGAGTCACAAAATTGTAGACTTGGAAAGGACCCTGAGGATCATCTAGTCCAGCCCCCTGTAATGCAGGAATATGCAACTGTCCCTCAAGGGGATCCAACCTGCAGCCCTGGCGGTATCAGCACCATGCTCCAACCAACTGAGCGATCCATTGAAGAACTGTGTCAAGCAGAAACTCCATGGATTTGGTTGTGAACATCACTGCATTCTCCTCTTAGTGGAAAGCTGAAATTCTATTTCTCAACATACTGTCATTCAGCTGAGGTTTAAGAAAATAGGCTCACGGGTGTTCTATGATATAAGAGAGATCTGTATGGATGAGAGGCAGGCAGAAACTAAAGAAAGCAGAAGAAAAATTAGGAGTGAGGGCATAGAAACCAAACTTTTAGAATACTTAATGATAATAATTACATTATTTATTTTACTTGTTGGTTAATGTGAAGAGACAAAAAGAGTGCAAAGAAAGAAAGAGCTTCATATGGAAGCAATCTGAATTTTCAGGGAATAAAAACAAGTAACATCTTTATGTCAAGCATGATTCAGTGCATCATACTGTATTTAATTATAACTGGGATGGTCTGGTAGATTATTAGGCAAGTTGCAAGTTTCTGGCTTTGGCTGTTTAGGTAGATGCTTGTTTCCAAAGCTGCAGGCACAGTGTAAATCACATCAATGACAGATATCCTCCAATTTTGTATTTATATTTTTTCAGATTATAACATTTACCACATCCATTATACTTTTAAGCCACTCTTTAGGCTAAAAGATTAATTATATTCTGCATCAATATAGACTGAGCAATGAATACCAAATCATTAAAATGTATATTCTTTTCCACTCAATCCTTATTCTAAATTCTTGTGTGCAGTGCAAAAAACCCAGTGTAATAATCCTGGTAGGGAATAGTTTATCAGATGGGTACACAGGAAAGACAAGCACAGAGATTTGCTGGTTTCCTTGCACCATACTAGCCAAAAACCTGTTACAATTTCATGTGATGAAGTTTTTCAGGGCTTCATGTCTTCTTTGATAGGTAAGTGTCTGTTTGTTGGTATGCCACTTATTATTCAGAAAAGACTGAAACATCAGGAATACTGAACAGGGACATTTGTGGATATATCACGAGTCAGTCACATTTCTTATCCTCTTTGTCTTGCACTTCCAGCTACACAGTTTGTGTGGAGCATCTGCAAAAGAGCAGTGTGGATCAGCTTTGGAGGGGGGGTCCCCAAAAACTTCTGGCAAAAAAGGGTGGGATCTATTTGATGGGGACAACTGACCTGCACCCAGTTATAGGGATTTTTTTTTTTTTTTACAGTAAACCTTGAGATGAGTTTAAGAACACTTTCAGAAAAGTCCAAGCTAAACTTAAATATCATTGCATACAAAGAAATGCAGGTGATGAGTTTTCATGGGGCATCTTGAGTCATACCCATTAAGTTTCGTGACATGGGGCTAAAGCAAAAGAGCAATGATGTTTCCACCAGTCCAATATTATTTTAATAAGTGGGTCACTTGCAAGGGATGGCCAACTGAGGAAAGGCTGTAGTTCAGTGGCAGAGCATCTACTTTGTATGCAGAAGGTCCCTGACAAATCTCTGGAATCTCCAGGCTTGGAGAGAAACTTGTCTGAAGTCCTGGAGAGCCAATCAGTGCAGACAGTGTAGATGGGCCAATGGTCTGATTCACTATAAGGCAGCTTCCTGTCTTCCTAAGTTATAGGTGTTGCTTGCATTGACTGTGGTGTTGAGTTCCAAGGAATGTAATTAAGCAGATGCAACCAATTGCTGTTTCATTGTCACATACTGGGATCAAAGTTGGTTGCAACAAAAGGGGCTCCTTCTCTGCTTACCACAATGATGCAACCATTGCTCAGAGCAAATTCACATGTGCAGTCCTGAGACATGTACTGAGTTCCACCTGAAGCAAGCTGTTGGGTAACACCTCCTGTGAGTGTAAATATAAGAACCTTAATGGTTTCTGCCATCATTAAGAAACCACTTAATCCAGTAGCATGACATGTGGCTAAATCTTCAGGGCTTTAAAATGTTAGTTTTATCTAATAATGCTCTGCAGCTCACCTATGTAACAAGCTAAGGGCAAAATATATCTTGGTGTGAATGACACTAGAAAAGAATTCACAAGGCAATCACAGATAGTAAAGATGTAGTCATTTTGCCAGGAAGTGATCTCACATTCCAAGAAAAGCAGAGGTTGTAATGCAAATGCAGACTATCTTTGAAATGAATAGAAGCTTTGACTGCCAAGCAAAAATGAAGTTCAAAGCTAGAAAATGGGATTGTCTTATCCTTCATAAGTTACTGCCAGAAAACAAAAAAGATACAGCAATTGCCTTCAACAGAATGAAACACACCTGTTGCTTATGAAAATGCAGCCCATATGTCGGCCACAATTTTTCTTTCTGTCTTGACTTACAAACAGCAATCAACCAAGCTTTCTTTAATCCTCCCAGTAATGTTGCTGTGTTAAAGTTGCTTCTGTATAGTTCGCTTGCCAGTTGCTTATTTCAAGCAGAGGCAATAGGAGTGGGTTTAAGTCACAATCCAGGGAACGTTAAGCACAACTAAGGGCTTAACCACACTTAACTTTTGTCCCGCTCTTTGCAGGCAGGGGTCTGCACTTTAACACTTCATGCCTGTGTTTTGTTTCATTGGGTTTTTTGCCTCAAGCTTGCTCTGTGAACACTCGCTCTTTAAAGCTGAATTGGAGCAAACATCAGTTTGGGTTTTCTGCATATTGATGTTTGCTCTGCTTGAACTCTA